TTCACTGACCAACTTAAATGTATTTTGTAAATATAAACAGATTTTGATTTTGATGGCTGCAACACACTCCAAAAAAGTTGGGACAGAGGCTAAATAAAAGTGAAAAGATTACAGAATATCCAAGTTAAACAGTTTTCAAACAGTTTTTTTCACAGTAAGCAGGTGAATTGGTAATAGGTGAGGGTGTCATGTTTGGGTATAGAAGGAGCATCTCAGTCTTTGCAAGCAAAGCTGGGTCATGGCTGAGAGAAGTGTCAAACAAATCAAAAATCATTTCTCAATGCAAAATCACTAAGAATTTAGGTCTTTCACCAACTACCATACATAATATTGTGAAAAGAATCAGGGAATCCAGAGAAATCTCAGTCTGTGTAGGGCATGGCAGGACACTAGTTGAATCTGTGTGACCTTTGGATCCTCAGATGGCATTGCATAAGAACCTGTCATGCTGCAGTGTTAAATATAGCCACATGGGCTCAGGAGTACTTCGGAAAACCTCTTTCACCTAACACAGTCTGCAGCTGCATCAAGAAATGCAACTTGAATCACTGTTACACAAGGAGAAATGTATACATAAATTTTAGGCAGAGATGACGCTGGGCACGAGCTCATCTTAGATTGTCCAAAAGACAGTGAAAATGTGTGCTGTGGTCAGATTAGTTCACATTTCAGCTTGCCTTTGGGGAAAATGGACATCAAATTGTTGGTCCCAAAGATGAAAGGGACCATCCAGACTTCAATCAGTGACAGGGGCAAAAGCAAACGTTTGTCATGGTGTATGGGTGCATCAGTGCAAACGGCATGGGTGACTTGCACACGTGTGAAGGTACCATTGACATGGAGACATATATTGGAATTGTACAGAGACATATACTGTCATCAAGATGACATCTTTCATGGAAAGTCCATGATTATTAGATCAAGACAATGCCAGGTCTCATTCTGCATGTGCTATAACAGCGTTCCATAGACACATGTGGATGTGACTGACTGGCCAGCAGATCTGTCTCCTATTGAATTCTCTCCTATTTTCCGAGCTTGTAAAAATATGCATAGAACACATAATAAAAAAAATCATAATTATATTATAAAAATAATTATAAACTAAAATGTAAATATACGTAGCACATATATATTTGGGGTAAAATATTTCATTTAAAACTATATTATGGATAATTTTAGTATTACACGACTTTTAAGTATTTATAATCACCATTTCTCTTGTTCTTGAATCTTGGATTTTTATTACTATTATTTTCTGAGTTTGATGAAAAAATCTCACACACTACATGTATAACCATTTACCTTATACCTAATCATAAACTACCCATAAAATCGTATTGTTTGTTTGGCAAACCTTATATCAAGCTTTTTTTTTTTTGTTTTTTTACACGGTGCTTCCACTGAGAGTTAAAGAGGGTCACTGAGAAAAAAATAAAAAAATAAATAAAATAAAAAAACTTTTTTGAAAATATTTCCTGAGACCTCAGGTGCGTGGAAATAATTCCATTCTTTGGACGTACAAGGACAGAGCAGAAGAAGTTATGCTGGTGTGAATAGTACCAGTAGAGCATGTTGTGTTGTTATTGACACTCAGTGGCACAATAAGCTGTTTTTCAGAGATAAAAACATGAACACTTGATCTTAAATGTTTCTGTATCTGTTCTGATATGCAACCAACCAGACCCGAGGAGGTCTTGTAAGTAACCTTGCTAAGAAATAGCATCTGTTAAAATTGTTAAAGCAAATGAATAATCTGTAACATGAAAGCCCTCCCTTACATCAGAAACTGACATTAGACTCAATAACCATCTGGGAATGGAGGAGTACAGTTGCATGCCTCTACTTCTCCATCATTTGTCAGGTTCTTCTCTCTGGAGATAAACTAGCTGTGCTCTCTTTGTATTTCTTAGTGTGGCCCCTTCAAAAGCTGATCACCTATAAGCTTCAAGTGTGCAAGGCTGAGCTTTGATGGAAAGTCCAGCCTATTGAGAAAGAGGGAAAGCTCTCTGATCTTTCTCAGCAAGGCCCCAGTGGAGAATTAGATTTCAATCTGGCAGGGAGGGAAAACAACATTTACGAAACAAAAGTTTAGAATAATTTGGGTAGAAAAGCAGAGCCCGACGGCCGGGCTTCTCAGAGCAGTTTCCTTGTTCTCCACCACTCAGTCCAGCCTGCTGATCAAAGCCACACTTCCAGATGCCTCTTGTTGAGTTTAAAGACAGAACTTCCTTAATCAAGAATCAGCCAATAGAAGATTTTAAAATATTTGGGCAATTACTTAATTCCCGTCAAGAAAATCACTGATTTATTATTTCTTTAAAATGGCTTTTAGAGACTCTACATTAAATGACTAATGTGCTAGTCAGAATTCTGATCTTGAGAGCAGTAAGAAGCGTGAGAAGGGCAAATGATATTTCTCTAGATCATGGTCAAAGCTTGACTGTAGAGTATTTGAAGTTTACAGGCCGTGTCCAGAGTCTAAAGATGTCAATATGGGCGACCCTTTTTCTTGGAGGCTTCAATGTCCTAAATTTTATGCTGCTGTCCGTTTAATACATTAATTTAGAGTAATTAATTATAAGAGCATTATAAAAGAAATGTTATGTTTTATATATGTGTGTAATTTTTTATTTATTAAGCTCTAGATTTATTGGGCTCTTGAGTGAAAGCTGATTCTGTCGTTTACTGTTCCCAACATTAGTCAGTGAAACATCCAGAGTGGCAAAGACAAATGCGACACACTATGGAGCAGAGAGGAAGTTGAGGTAGAGAAATAGTTTAATGGATGCAATTGGGTGGTTGTATGAGTTGGAGGGTTGAAGGGTTGAAGGGAACTTTAGGGGGTGGAACAGTAAGGCACTTCAAAGCTTTGATGTTGTGAGCCCCTAAATGAAGGGGACTGAAGGTCCGTGCTAATGGGAACCCATGTGGAGATGAGAGAAACTGTAACAGACATAGCTGAAAAGTGAGAGCGAGAGCGAGTTTGTATGCTTTTTATGACTGAATGTGTTGATATTTAATGGAGTCAAAGGTTCTATTGATGGACTCCTTTTGTTGTCAGTGGAGGTACATTATGTACTGGTCTGGTATTTTAGCTGCATGTGTGTGAGTCTGTTGAGCAGTGCTAAAGTATTCTACTCATTTATCCATCCTATAAGCCCCTGCTCTTGTAACTTCAAAGCTCGATACTCATCATAAAACATCAAACTCAGTCACCTTGAAATGTTCCTCTTGAAGCCACCTTTGAATGTTCAACATCACATCAACCCAATATGTTAACAATCCTTTATTAAATAATCATAATAACAATCATCATCATCATCATAAAAAGCACATTTTCTGTACAAAGTGTCCAAAGAGAGACTGGAATTCTACCCAGTGCTGTGATTCTCAAGTATTTCGAGTGTTTAAGTCAGAAAAACGCTCCAAAGCAGTCTTTTTCAGGTTCATAGCCGAGGCTGGAACAGAATAACTCCAAGGCACTTGCAAAAGTCCAGGGGTCCAGTAGCAAGAGTCTTCAAGAAGATAAGAAGTATCAGAGTCTCAAAACTCCATATCAAAGATTCCAGACTCTCATAACGTGTCGTCTTCTGCAGAGGCATAGTGTGCTTTGGGTGCATTTATTTTCACCAACTCCAACAATGCATTTTTAAGTGTGTATGAGAGTGGGGGATCCCATCTGAGCAAATAGGTAAATATTTACGGCATCTGTCTTCCACCTTTTTCCAGTCTTCGAAAACCACAGGGGAGCAGATTTACAACCAAACCTGTCTCCTGTTAACATAAAGCCTAAGCATGGAAACATAAAACTGAGTAAAAGACAGAAAAAAATCAACTGGGAATGAAACAGAGGAAAGAACTTCTGTATGGTGTACATCAATCCATTGGAGATCCTCAAAGCTCGGTGTTAAGCACTTACTGGTTTGCACATAACCTAAATGATCAATAAATGTTTTTTTTTTTTTTAAGGTGAATTAATGACCACTGGTTTTGTAACACTCATCTCGGCCTCTCAAATAAGGATTTCAATAAAATATATTAAATATGTTTGTATATGCTTTTTTATTTTTCAGATTGATCCAAATCTAAACTATTTGACCTCGCATGGACCTATAAACAATCATTTTGATGTGTAAAAATATCTGTTTGACCCAAGAGCCAAGATAAACTGCACACGACTGGCGTAGATTTGAGTCTATTTTTGAAAATGTTCTTTCCTTTTTTTAAATACAAGCAGTGGACCTGAAGTTATCTGAGCCAATAACTGTAGCATTCTTTAATGCCCAGAGTAAAAAATAAATAAAAATAACAGAAACCGTATTTCAAACATATCCCTTCAGTATCTGTCAGCCTTTCAACCCTTGTTTCACATTATTTAATACCTGTTTGCTAGCTCAAATCTCACACATTAGCTTGGCAGTCTTTGTCTCCCAGTTACAGCAATCCATAGGTTGCACTGACAAAATCCTCAGTCGTTTCAAACAAGTGTGGTGCCTTTTTTTTTTTTTTTTCAAAACACAATCCACAAAACACACTGTGCCGAAAACTAAATTTAAGAACCCTTAATATGTCTTACTTTTCCATTTCCAAGCTGTCAGACTGACAAGAGAAACAAACGGTTGGCTGAAAGAAATGGGTTGTAAACACTCAATAATAATGACATATAATCACCCTGGGCTACTAAACTTCTCTTTGAGGGAAAACAATTAAGCAAGATTAAACCCAAAGCCTTTAAAAACAATGCACAACAACCTAGGCCACAAAATTTACTTTTGGGAATGATGGGGGACAGAAGTTTGTGGCTTGAAAGTCCAGCAACAAATCTCACATTTTAAAAACTAGACCTCTTAGAAATCTAAGCTGATATACTCTCATCTTTTTGGAATAGCAGAACATTGATATGTATCAACATTTGTTTTGAGGCTGAGCCCTGGAAAGGGTTTCAATCCTTGTGGCACAAAACTCTCCACTTTTGATGTAATTCAGTGAAAGACAAGGAAGTCCTTGGCAGCAGTGTTAGAGCTAAATAAGCACAACTGCTTGGAAAATAAGCTCCAGGAAAAGTTCAGTCTAGGAGCTTTCCAGCTGAGATGGACATGCATTCCAGGAATACTTAGAGATGAGGCTTGTCTCTTCAAAGAGTCAAATCGGGTTACTTGGGGGTCATTTTAGGATACTTGATATCTCCCCATCTGTTTTCCTCAAGCCTCGGAGCAGCAGCGCTGTTGGTTAAGCTTTACTTTGTGCTTAATCCCATCATACAGCTCAAAGTTGTAGTTCTCCAAAGTGGTAGACGAGCGTGACGTCAAGCCGCCATATGAGCAGGTACAGTAAAGAAGGAGGCCGGCACACACAGCACCTAGAAGAACACCCAGAGAGCTCATGACGATAATGGTCAGGAGAATGGGGTCCAGAGAGTACAGCCATGTGTTGTCCTTATCGACTACGCGTGTCACCGGAGGCTCTGATGGCGTTTCGGCTGTGCTCCACTCTGGAAACTGGAAACCTACAAGAAGAAGAAAAAGGGAAAGCACATAAAGATGTGTATTAACAATCTCACTTTTGTTTTTGGACATGATACCATGGTAATACAATGATATTTTTTGAAGGAGTGTGATCTCACTCCAAAAATAGTGACGTATCAGATGGTACACTTACAAAAGGTACTGTGGTGATACCATGGTACAGTGATGGCATTAGATGGTAATTCCATAGTACTATGAAATTTAGTGTGCTTCTGAAATTCATGTACCACGGTTTTTATGGTGAACCATGGTACATTCAAGGATGGGGTACATGTCGAATGTCACCTAACAAATCCAGAATACAGGTCTCATCACATCCGCTTATCAGAGAAATTGTTGACAGCAGTATGAACTGACGGTGATATCTATGGACTTTTAAGGTAATCAGCTAACCTATGTAGCTAGCTGTTGTTATTGTTGCCATTTTATTCCATTTTAATATCTGAAGTTTAGTTAAAAGAAAAAAACTTTTAGATCTCAATCCGCTTATGAAACAGACATCGGTTATGCTCATTTTTGGTATCTCCTTTGACGGCATCTTGAGTAAAACAGCTCTATATTTAATGAGGCACATACAAAAGACCTGAACCAGAAGCAACAAGACCTGTTTTACAGAATACTGCAGTATGTTACACATAACCCCCATACCACAGTATTAACATGGCACATGTTCAAAACACCATGGTAGTACCATGTCCAAAAAAGATTTTATTTTATTTTTTTAACGAATAAAGTGCAATGGTATTAGCATGTTTTTGTACAATGGTATTCCTTGAAGTATTTTGGAAAAAATACCATGGTACTTCAAAGTACTTTAAAGAATACCATGGTATAACATATATCTTGTTAAATTAATATAGTAATCAGTGGTATTACCTCTACAGCATGTATTTGTAAGCATGTTTTGTTCAACACTACAGCCTTTGGAGGCTAAACAGAAGTTTTTGTGTTTGTTTTCCCACAGTATCCAATGGAGGAAGGCACATCTAACCAACTAATGGCCTGGTCTGAGGGAGAACAGTGTCGGCTGTTTTCAGCTGACAAAACTAAGCCGTAAACACTTCTGTGGCACCCTGTGCCTTGCTAGCGGTTGCATTAGGCTTAATTAGGCTGCTTCTGACAGCGAGCTGAGGCCAAAACTCGTACCAGCTGAGCTGCTTTTGCACTTTGACTGATATCTGTTGCATTTTGTTAAATCTTTGCCCTTCTAGTTCCAACAAATGGCTTCCGAGGTGATTGACAGCTTGTGTAGAGTGTAAGCTAAACACAGACTTCATTATATTGTATTAGAGTAGGGGGAAAATGAGAAAAAGATGGAAGACATTGATAAAGGAAGTCGGGAGAGTAAAAGAAAGACAGATGGAGGGGGTTGACAGTCTATAAGGATGAACAGATTTCGGTTGGGTAATTAACTCATCCTTGTCTTTTTTATTTATTTATTTAAGAGGCAAAACAAAGATGGATTCCAACTGTGTGATAGCAGGAAGGGAAGGGCGGAAAGTCAGATAACTAGATTTTTTTTTTTCCCTGCAGAAATGCGGGGTGAGGGCGATGCGAATGTGAACAAACACGTACATACCCACACAAGCATGTCAGCTCTACCCATACAAACATATGTACAGATGAACTGTGGAGCTCCACAGTTAGTGCAAAACAATTATGGAATGGGAAGCGGCATTCGCAAAACATTTAATTACATAATGTGATGTATTTTCAAATAAATAATATACTCAAAGAAAAAAAGATTGGGAATTGATTGGACAGATAATGTGCACTGACAAATCATTCACAATAAGACCAGAAACATGCATTGTGCAAGTAATTAGGGTGTATTCTGATTTCATGTTCACTGTAAATATGTCCAAACCATCTGTTTTTGACTAATCTGAAAACCTTGAGGGGGAAAAAATAATAGATGAAAGATTTCTCATTACTGGTTCCCAATTTATTTATTTTTTTACTTGGTTAGAATAAATAGCCTGCCAGGAAGCAGTCATATATTGTATGTATGTAGTGGGAACTAACCTGCATTTATGTGGTCCTTCCCGTTGAAGAGACGCCCATTTCCGACTGCTGTTTTTTTAACTGTGGATAAAAATGTAGACATTGTATTAAAATCTATAAGACGATACAAAATTAAAATTAAAAAGTGCTCAAAATTATTATTAATAAATATATATGAATGAAAATATAGCGTGCATTCTTGAATTAACAAACTTTAGTACACAATAGGGTGATAGTCACCTTCAAATCATAAGAATATTATTCAGAATTCAGATAACTAGCCCTAAACATGTCAACAATTTACAGCTAACTAACTTCAACAAAGTTGCTAATTTACACTAATTCTTGCGGTAGCGACAACTCTGAGAAACAGAGAAACTCTTGTGAAACAGAGTTTGTTCAACTCAAAGTGCTTGCATTCACATACTTGCGTGAGTTCTAAATAAGTATATTTTGAGACTTAATGTTAAATAATAAATTATTAATGGGACGCAAGATATGTAACATAATTACAGAGTACAGAGAATAACATCATGTGACCTACATAATTGCTAATTGAAGCAATCCAGCATTTACACATTAAGGGAAAACACAAATATAGCAGCAAAAATAGGCCAATGTCTATTGTTACTATGCTGATATAAATCGATATAAAAAGAAGTGACGATTAGAAAAATAAGATTTTATTGTCACATTTTAAAAGCAGGTTTTCAGGACACAAATTCATCAAGCAAAAATAGTCTGTTCACATTGGCATTTTAAACAGTTTACTAATTTCAAAGTTGAGGTATAGGCTGACCACAGTTAGAAGGTACTTTCATAAAGCAAAGTGCATCATCATCATCCTCATCATTATAATTAAATTCATAGTCTGTATCAGAAGCATCACCACCACCTAAGTAAGCTTTGCGGTACAATAAAAGGCCCATAACTTTCAAATGGCTTTATGGATCAGGTCGCTTTGTTCCAAATATGTCCGAGTCGGAGCCCGCTGTGTCTAAAAGCAGAGAAATCAATGTGAAAGCTCACGCTCCACGGTTGTGAAGGCGGTAGCCTGACTGGATTCATTGTGAGCGATCTATTCTACCCAACTCCCCACCTCAGAGAAAAACACTGTCCGACAACCCCTGAGATGCCCGTGTCCAAAAGTAGCATGAGTCATTCGGATCCAAAGAGACATCGGAAGGGGTGTGAACATCAACCTCAATCCTCTGGTCTTTGAAAAATAGACTGTTTTGCTTTATTAGAAGCTTCTCGTTCAGTATACGTGATGCATTTAAGAGCCCGAGAAGAATGGCTGTTTGGCATTACGCCTCGCTGGCTGACGTGTTGACGGCGTTCTCGAGAGAGCGCTCGTACTCATTAATGTGGTTTCCCCGAGTCGACAAGAGACACAGGGCAGGAGACAAAATGCCTATAGCAGCTTTAATAAATGGTATCTGGTCCATTAACTAATTAAAAAATATTAAGAGTGAAGAATGAAGGAGGGACATGGTTTAGGAAGAAAAGAGCGATAAAGTGCTTGCTTTAAAAGCACATTGCATGACGGTGCCAAAACATCTCTTACCACCTCACAGCAGGAAATGGCATTAAAAAGCCCCTCAGGAGCCAAGGGTCTTTATCCTTTTATTTCCATTTTGAACGGCTTACTTCTTATATCGACACGAAGACCTTTTGAAATGCTTTGAGTCCTGATTCTAGATCTGCTGAATGTTCTTAAAGGGATAGTTCACCCAAAAATGAAAATTTGATGTTTATCTGCTTACCCCCAGGGCATCCAAGATGTAGGTGACTTTGATTCTTCAGTAGAACACAAACGGAGATTTTTAACTCAAACCGTTTCAGTCTGTCAGTCGTATAATGTAAGTGGATGGGAATCACGGCTTTGCAAGAAACTGAACAGTATTTATATTGTTTTTTACCTCTGATTTTCACTGCAATGTCTGAACTGTCCTGAGCGCGTCCTGAGCGTGTTCGCGTCTTTTTCTTCAGCCTGCACGTGAGGCGCCTTCTTCTTCTTCTTGCTTTACAGCAGATCACAGACGTGTAAGTGCATTACCCCCACCTATCTCTCAAATGGACCATTGACACTCCTATTTGAGATTGTAGATAGAGTGTCAATGGTCCATTTGAGAGATAGGTGGCGGTAATGCACTTATAAGCCTGCGATCTGCCGTAAAGCAAGAAGAAGACATTACCGCCACCTATCTCTCAAATGGACCATTGACACTCTATCTACAATCTCAAATAGGAGTGTCAATGGTCCATTTGAGAGATAGGTGGCGGTAATGCATTTATAAGTCTGCGATGTGCCGTAAAGCAAGAAGAAGAAGAAGGCGCCTCACGCGCAGGCTGAAGAAGAAGACGAGAACGCGCTCAGGACAGTTCAGACATTGCAGTGAAAATCAAAGAATCACCTGTGCGTCTTTCTTTCAAACGTGAAAGACAAAAGAAAATGCTAAATGTTTACATCATGTTTTTCTATGCAAATGAGATTTGAGCAAATAATAACTTTATTCTGGCTCACACAAATTGAATGACTTCAGAAGATTTCTATTCATACAAACTACTTTTATGATATATGGTGAGATTTTTGAGACGTTCTTCAAAACATTTCCTTTTGTGTTCCACAGAAGAATGAACGTCATGTAAGTCTGGAATAACATGACAGTGAGTTTTCATTTTGGTTTTGTCGCTATCACTTACATAAAGGAGCAACATGAACGTTCTTCAAAACATTTCCTTTTGTGTTCCACAGAAGAATGAACGTCATGTAAGTCTGGAATAACATGACAGTGAGTTTTCATTTTGGGGTGACCTATTCCTTTAATACTGCTTTGTAATACCTTGGAGTACCATTTAAATACTACAGAATATGCATGTGATAATCACTCAGTCCTAATACAGAACTGATTATTATAACCTATAAAACTGAATGACAACTCAATTCAGTAAATGATTCAACATGGCTATGAAAAAGCATATGGCAGTCTTGGACTGCATTCACTGCTAATCATTCTTAAAGCTTCATGATGCTTCAGTGAACTAAAATTGCTACCAGGTGTTGATATCTGCACAAGGTCTCTCCCACCCCAGCGCTCAGTGCTTCCTCAACGCATGGAGACGGAAAAAGGAAACAGCTGTCTTTGTTTATGGGACTTGTTTTTGGAGCCTCCACACCAGCAAGCGTTTGCTCAGAATAACACACGCCAACACAGTTTTGGGGGATCTTTGGGAAAAAAATGTGAGAAATGCAAGATAGAAAGGAATAACCTAGATACTGCCACAGAGAGCACAGAAGCAAACACAAAACATGAAGACTCCCTGACACAATCCTTCTTTCCCATAATTCTCTTATCTCATTGGTGGCGCCATCCCTTCATTTAAGTTGAGCACATCATTGATATGAAACCATGCCTAAAACAATCTTTAAAGTCAACATGAAAGAACATTTACAATGCATTTTAGTTCCGTAATGATGTATTTCCAAAAAAAAAAAAAAAAGATGAGGCTTTTTAATAGGGAATCACAATATCAACGTTTACTGGTCAAATCAATTTTTGTTTGGAATTATTGAAGCACTCTTTATTACGTTATTGACAACTGACATTAATCTATTGAGTTAAATTTTGGCAAGGTTTTAGGAAGGCTGTATTACCTACAACCGCAGCCTAAAACAAGTGTTACCAATAACATTAACCAATAATTGTCATGATCTAAGCGACAGTGGAAAAAGGAAACTCATTACATAAACATTTTTCTCTTTATAATAACAGTGCACTGATATGTCATTCACAATAAGACCAAGAAGTTGTATGAAGAAACTCAATTTTGATTTCATGTTGACTTTAAAGGCAATGTTCAATCACGACAGCATATGTTTATATCATCTTAGGTGGACTCTCAATGTATCAGACTTAACTCAAGATGTTTACATGCAGAAACCTTTTATGCAATACTTCGCCTTCCCTTATTACTAATTAAATCATGCTTGCGTTGTATTCAAAAAGTGCTGTGAAGCACATTCTCAGTAAGGGAGCCTCCGCCCGTTTGCTTTAATTTATCTGAAAGCTTCATGTTCTCTCTTTCACCAAAAATCTGTTCCCATGTTCTGCTATAATAAAGTAAAGTACTCGTAATCAATCTCAGGGACTAGTCAAAGTGCAAACATTGTGGCATGTCCACAACAGCTCTGAACTCCCCAATGTTCTGACCTTGTCCAATCACATTGATTTAACATAAGTATAGCACACTGGATCAAAGTCAGTCCAGGATCAATGATTGAGGTCAGTGGATAACACGTCCTCTTGGCTTGGCGTTCATCAAGAGGCTGGATACAAATTCGCTCTTGGAGAAGGTCCCTCCAGATGAGTATGAGTTGGCTAGATGTGGTAAACAAGCTGAGCACACTAAGACAGGGTCGTCAGTATCCAAGAAAGAAAAGAACACAAACAGAACGAGGAAACAGAAAAATCGAAGTGTTGGGTTCATCTGGATGCATCCGAATCCAAGCATCTGAGAGCGTTCTTTGAGGTTCTTCTCCAAATCTTCAGTCTGAGATCTGCTTTCATCAAGGACTTACTTCATGAAGTCAGCATCTGCTGGCAAACCTTTAGTCCAGGTGTCTCACCAGTAGGAATTCCCATCACCCTTCTCAACCCATACAGTCAACTTGGGTGTCACCCCTGCCCTGTGCACGCCGCCGTTCGGGTAATGTGCAGTGTGGGGGCTGTAGTAGGCCATTGTGGGTTGGTTCCTCCTGGCTGTAAGATGGCGACAGCTAACGGCCATGACAATGACAATGACCAGGAACAAGATGGCTCCTCCACCAGCAATTATGTAATACCAGTTGGGCAAAACGGGCGGTACTGACAGCGTATCTATTGTTGGCTCACTCTTGCCAGGTAGGGCTCCCCCTGGTGGAGAGATATACAAACTGTGAAACACACCACACTACTGCTAGGTTCAAATGCAAACACACTAATGCCATGGAAGATGCTGTATTGACTGTTTTGGCATTCAATCATACAGGGTAGAAGCTTCATGCTCCATGTTTCACTGTTCGAAATCACTATGAAATAATCTCTTTACAGTAGAGAATAGTTGTTGTGGGATCTACGTTTGGCTGCATAGCGGCGTGTACAGTGAAACAATGGGAGTGAATTAGGGCTGCACGATAAATCGCATGCGATATTTAACGCGCATCTTGTCAGTAAAGCCGGTTCTTTAATCAGCGGTAAATCTCCATCACCTGCGGGCTTTCACATGGAGCAGCATTAACTACACAGAGCCGTTGTTTCACTGACAAGCTGCGCAAGACCACGATCATATTTTGCGCATGTTTTGCGCAGCTCGTCAGTGAACAACGGCTCTGTGTAGTTAATGCTGCTCCATGTGAAAGCCCGCAGGTGATGGAGATTTACCGCTGATTACAGAATGGCTTTACTGACAAGATGCGCGTTAAATATCGCATGCGATTTATCGTGCAGCCCTAGAGTGAATGCAGTGCTGTTATGTAACGTGTTTTCAAATAGGCACCTGAGTCAGACTCCAAGCATGTTGCAAATAAACACTGCCCCGTTCTAGTCCTGGGGAGTGGGAATGTCGTACTATAAATCATTCTGGATTTTTTTGCATGCTGGATTTTGGGACAAGTGGCTCTCCAGGACTACTTAAAGGCCAAACCATTATGTTTTAGGGGTACATTGGGGCTGCATTCAAAACAAGAGGCTGTTTTGCCAAGCAGAGGCACATGCATTCTGTTCTCCCTCAGTTCGGCCTTCTGACATAATTGATCATTGGAGGAGTTTGTAATAGGGCTGGGCGTCGCCAGCTTTGTCACTGCATTGTGATGCAACACTATATATCATAAATGGATCGAAACTGAGATTGAGAGAGACACAGTGTGACAGCATGCAAGACTGATGATATGGAATCATTTTCTATTTTTGCACAGTCTTGCTCCAATTCTGACAAGTACTGTACACCAATTATTATTAAATTATTAAATGGATTTACATTTCTGTTCATCTAACTTCCATCAATCTCTATTAAATTTTCTTTATCAGTAGTTAATTTTAGAGTGGCTGAAAAATGCAACTTGTTACGTTAGCACCACTTTGATATTTTAGTTTTAGTGGGTTGAAATTTTGTAACACTTAATTTGATGATCACTAATTATCATTAACTGAACTACAAGAAATTATATGAATGCACACATAACTAACTGAATAAATAAATAATAAATTAAATAAATGATTAGTTAAATCAATATAGAAATATACACAAGTCAATACATTTAAAAGGTTAATAAATAAAATAAAATAAAATATATTAAACTAAAGTACAGATGCAATATCTTGAGAAAGAATTCATGCCTGGATCTGCATACATTCAGTTTGCCAGTTAAATTACAACCATTAAACCACCTATTAACAATCCAAGAGTTGTGATAGGCTAATTTTCACACCAACCACAAAGCTACTGGATGAGTTTAGCGGCTCTAGAAAGCAAACGTGACACGCCGCATGTTGACTTAAAATTGTAAAAACTTTAAGCAATGTCTGACAGACTGAAAATAAAAACAACCCTACATCTCCACAAAAACAACCAAAATAGTAACAAATATTACAATCACACAACAAGTGGAAGCAGAGGTTCTTGTCAGCTCTGCTTTGTCTATCTCACAGATTAGTAAAAGCACCGTGTGAGAAGCGAACATTTCAGTAAAGAATAACACCAACAAAAAAAAAAAAACAGTTCTCCAGGGACTCCAACGATACCCTGAGTCTCTGATGCAATGCTGCCATCTGAGCAGAACCCAGCACAGGCAGACATCTTGTTATGCTATATTCAGCTGCGGAGCATGACTGAGTCACTCATTAGGGAGAGCGACTTGGCTCTGCCTGTGTCTTTTATTGACACTCATTTCACGGAAGAAAGTGGAGGTGCTAATATGCCGGTAGCTTGTTTGGGTATTCTTGCCAATTCAAGTTTTTAAAAATAAAAATTTCTAAAATAATGAAATGGAGCCCCAAATATAAAAAAAAACCATCATACTGCTTCAGTGTCAAGTGCTGGACTGCAGTCCATGTCTGTATACACTGACAAATACTCTGTTCTTGAGGGATCCTACACTTTTCTGACAATTCCCATGACTTTTCTGGTCGTTTGTGATTAAAGATAAGGATTTTTGAACATTTCAGTAAAGAATAACACCAACAAAAAAAAAAAAACAGTTCTCCAGGGACTCCAACGATACCCTGAGTCTCTGATGCAATGCTGCCATCTGAGCAGAACCCAGCACAGGCAGACATCTTGTTATGCTATATTCAGCTGCGGAGCATGACTGAGTCACTCATTAGGGAGAGCGACTTGGCTCTGCCTGTGTCTTTTATTGACACTCATTTCACGGAAGAAAGTGGAGGTGCTAATATGCCGGTAGCTTGTTTGGGTATTCTTGCCAATTCAAGTTTTTAAAAATAAAAATTTCTAAAATAATGAAATGGAGCCCCAAATATAAAAAAAAACCATCATACTGCTTCAGTGTCAAGTGCTGGACTGCAGTCCATGTCTGTATACACTGACAAATACTCTGTTCTTGAGGGATCCTACACTTTTCTGACAATTCCCATGACTTTTCTGGTCGTTTGTGATTAAAGATAAGGATTTTTCATTATTAAATTCATTAAATTGAAGGTTCAGTTTATTTTTATTTTTATTTTGTCAGGTACCAGTTTTTAAAATGAATGCATTCTAGAAGCATACATGTGATCACGACTATGATATTGCTTTTATTCAACAGTTCTATAAATGTATTTTAGACACAATACAGGCAAATTTGTTCTGACATTGAAAAAATTTTTTTTCGCTAGTCACAAAGGAAGTTTCCCTCGGCAGATAGATGTATACTAATTATAGAAACTTTCTATAATTCATATATACTTTGAATATAGTATCAGTTTCTTTAAAGTACCGCTATTATGCCATTTCCAATAATGCCTTTCATGCAGTGTGTAATGTAGCTGTATATGAATGTAAACGATCTGCAAAGTTGTAAAGGCGAAAGTGCACAATAAATAAAGTTATTGTCTCCCAAAAGAAATAATCGACTCTGAACAGCGTAAACGAGTTATTAGTAATTCAAATCCCACTTCTGTGACGGCTACACGTCACAGGGTAACACATTTGCATAATTCCCGCCAATGTTCTCCGCTGGCCTGTCGCGAACAACTTGACCCGCCCTCAAACACAGCATTTTATTGACGACTGATTCTCTTATCTCGGGGAGTTCAACACAGGATTTACAAAACGCTTGTTCTTGAAAGATGGTTCAGTACCCTGTTTATTTAGACCAGCTGGCTCCACTGAATCACAGCCTGTAAATATTATAAATAATTAATGTTTATATTTTCTATTGAGCGTTCAAAATACGGAACAATGGCAATGGGCGTATCGTTTCCGACACACTCTGTATACAGTAGACCAATCACAACAGACTGGGCCATCTGACCAATCAGAGCAGAGTAAGCTCAGGGAAAGGGGGGTTTTAGAGAGACTGAATCTTAGAACTGCTTCGAACGAATCGTTTGAGAATCGTTGGAAAATGATGCAATATTAAATGCATATTTTGAGAAAACGAAAGTGTTTTTTGACCTTGCAAGCATGTAAACCTATTGCAGGAGACTCCCAAAACAACATCAGAAACCTTAAAAATGGCATAATAGGGGCACTTTAAAAATGTTAAACCCTAAAATATTTCTATGATTTTCCATGACTATAGGATTGCACAAGTGTTAGCATGGCTGAAAGGAGAAAGATGCCTCAAAAATAGACTGACAGGATGCCCATCTGGAGTGCGTTTCCCGTACAACGACGTAACTCACTGATTAACCACCACAGTACGATGCATTGTTGTGGAAACTAACTAGCCAGTCATGACTGTTTCCCGAACATGGTCGCATATCCGTTGTTTGAACCACATTAGTTCAACAATTTAGGGCCGTTTTTAATGACGTCACATGCATGTGGTGGAGTAATAACTTCTGCTAATTAATTGATTCGAGATTTCTGAGATGCTGCTGTATTGAACATGGCACCTGATGATTAATTTACTATGTTTTGTTCCCTGTCATTTAGCTTTATTTGATGTTTGATTCATCACGGGTTTCCTCTTACGTCACACTCCGGGGTTCCCTTAGGCATTTATGTGCATGCGCACTCTTCAAAAACGGCGCTTATTGAGGACGCGCTAAAATTTATCGATTCAAATGTATATATATTTTCAAATTGAATGGAAGATATAGATTGTACTGCATGTTAGCATAATTTATTTAAGTCCATATGTCTTACTAACAAGAAACTATTCTTCTAACCACAGGTCGAGAGCTGTAGTTCCTACCATGTTTACAGTTAGTTCGTAGTTCGTACCAAGTTTGCGACGCTGTTTGTGAATGTTCATTTGAACTATGGTTTCGGGAAACACCGAATCGATGAACTATGTTGGTAACGATGGAACTTATTGGCAACCATAGTTGGCTAACGATGCTTTTGGGAAAAGCACCCCTGGTTAGGAGTGCTACAAATAGTCAATGACATCAAATGATAAAATACTGACACAACCTGAATGAGATTTGAAAGCTATGACAGAAGGGACAATGGTCAGCGAATAATGACTGAAATATTTCATGCAAGAAAGAAAGTCATACAATTTTATGACATGAAGGTGAAATTTCAGTTATTTCTGGGGAACTATTCCTTGAACGTCAAAGTATGTCACATTGTGGCAGAACAGCCTCATGAGTTTAGCAGCCTGGCAGTCCATGTTTGAGCATCTTTCCAAATTGGGATCTTAACCACACTGAAAAATGTTAGAAATGGATTGGTCACCTCAAATAACTGACCCAACCCCAGGCTCCTCAAATCACTGCATAAATGCCACATGCTAGGAAGTAAAACGAACCCTAGATCATCGCTGTAAACAATAACCGCTGAGCAGGGCAGAGAGCAGGAAGTGCAAACATTCACACCTGAGGCAGAGAGTTTAAACTCACCGGTCATGTCCGGAGGGAACGCGGTAAAAGGTTCTAGATGAAGAAGAGAAGGATGAGGAGAGGCAGAGAAAGAGAGAAAGACAAATAGAGCAAAATGTTAATTTGTAATGTAAGGTTAACAGTGGTGTACATCCATGCCTTAGTGTATCAGATGCTGATGACTCTGAAAACATGCACTGAACTTCATAAAATAATGAATAACCTACATAAGAGACCACAGAGGAAAACAAACTAAGATGGTTCCTGAAATATTTCACCCTCAAATCAAAGAAACAAGCACCATGAAGATTTTGTGGATTGTGGCATTATTTTCATGATAATTAAGCACATTTACATCAAAACTCTCATTACTGTAATGTGACTGAAAGTATACTTTTGAGTTTTTTGCAATTCACTATTCTCAATTATTAAAAAATACTTTGTATAATAATAATAATAATAATAGCCCCATAAAGCATTTTTCCTTCAGCTAAATTCTTTGTCCCATCCCCCATACAGTGTTCAGACAAGGCATTGTGATTCTCAATTTGTTGGCACAGAATTGGGCTTTCAGGTTTTAAGTAGTTTTAATGTTGTGAAGGTTTTGTTTTGAGGAGCGAACATGGAAGGATGGAGAACATTGTCTGAATTCTTGAAATGCAAACAATTAGAAAAAGATGAGAAACTATCGTGGGGGCCAGCGGCTCGGGGATCTCTTTTTGGAGGGAACTGCAAGTCCAACTGCCCGGGTCGATAAGAACTCTCCCAGCATGCTTTGGGAAGAATCACAGCAGGCGCATGGTGGAACTCGAGCTCAGGAGGCTTCCAATTTTTGGATTCGAAATGAACCACCAAGTCCCATAGCCTCGGAGCGAGCCAAGCGGCAATGCTGCGAGCCAAAAATGACTAAATCAGGGTTTCCAGTTATGGATTGGGAATCATAGAAGCAGTGAGCACATGGTCACATTTTGATGTCTTTAAGACCATAAACCACAAAGCTTCTGTGCAAGATCCATCCTCAAAAAGCTCAGGCTATCGACTAATTCCGTTAAAAATCTCTGTTTACAAACATGGAAGGAGAAGCGCAAAGGAAATAATGAAACATAGATTAGCATCGGGGCCCAGGGGCATTTGTGGCCTAGATTTGATTCTACATTTTGCGTTTGATGGCAAACAACGAGCCGCACTATTTTTTTGTGTGTCCTCCTTTCATGGTAATAAATTCTATTTTGAGAAACTCTTTGAGATAGTGGCTGTGATGGCTAGGTTTGATCACAGTAAATGGAGAGGTTTATGGAGTTGTAGTGAGAATCTCAACAAATTATGGTGAAATGATGGATCTGGAATATGTGCCGTCTGTAATGAAGAGATAAATGTAACCTCACAGGAAACCAGAAAGAGCGTGGCAGGGACAAACATCTGGTAGAGATAATGCAAGGTTTTGGATTAAATTGTTGCTATGAATAACAACAAAATTATAAAAGGACAAAACTAATGATGGAAGAAAAAGATGAAACATGTACACTTACGAGTACACTCTTCCAGTGGTGTGTTCACACTCATGTGGATGTTATCGATCCAGATGTGGCCTTTGGTACCCTCAAAAAATCCTTCAATTACCACCTGTGTGATGAAATATGAGCACACAGAAAAAATGTCACCATGATATCTGTCAGGCTACCAAAACTAAATTAATACATAAACAAAGGTTTACAAGTAAAAAATGTCTAATCTTCGTTTAATGCACAACTAGCCATGCATTATCCCACTTATATGATGGTCAATTGCCAGCATTGACAAGTTAAAGCAGCGCAATATTTGACCGAATGGGTAAAAATGACGTTATTTTCGTCAGTTACGGCACGTTAGCGCTAGCATTCTGCCCGCTTCAAATCAGACACAGAGATGAAATAGTGCGGTAAGATCACATTTATTTGAATGAATGAATTATAACATTTATTTGAATTAATTATCGACCGATCGACCGATCAAGAAAGAGAAAGAGGGAGAGAGACAACAGTTGTGTGTGAATGGCTTCATTAAAAGCTTATTGTATTACTGTATTAAAATCTCACTGAGAGATGGACTGAACGAGTGTGAATATCTGCATCTGATACAGCATTCATTCTTCAGGTCAATCTCATATTCAGTATAAAACATTAGTTTGAATGTCCTCTGAGGAAAGCGATATCTTTGTCGTACTGTCCTTTCATCTGTTAAGGGTGATTTCTGATGACAGCGCTGCTCAGTGCATTTGTTGGTTGCATCTAACAAGGTGTTGTTGAAAGTAAAAACATCATGTTGATATACAGCATTACATTTATATAAGATATAACATTATGAGACTTTGCCTTCAGCCAAAACTATTTGCTCTGGAACAAATTATAGATTAATGAGACCAAAGACTACCCATTAGATTTACCCAAAACTAATTATATCTCATGTTTAACCACTACAGAGACATCAGAGCTAGCGGCAAATTCCAGAAGAACTGCCCCAGGTAAGGCTGCTCTCGGCGGGTTCATGAGCGCTGAACGGCCGCTGACGCCCTGGAGCTCACATCTCCGAAAACGACATAGCAAATTTTCAAATAGACATTATCTTTATTAACAAACGGCATATTTGAAGTCTAAACAAGTACATTCTTGCCTAAAAACTCTTAAAACTACATTCCGTGACACAAAAACAGTATCGTTTATAAAATTATAGTGGATTAGGGCATCCGCCATGACACTCGCTGTGAGAAATATTGCAAGCGGAAATGGTGAAACAGTTGGAGTTCTGTTATCACTAGAATATCGCACGCCTGGAAAAGGCTCTCAGCCAATCAGATTCAAGAACCAGAAAGAACTGTTGTATAAAATGAATAGAATAGAATATAATTTAATTGAAAAAATAATACATACATCACAGTTTTAAATTTATTTGACTGTTTATCATGTCTAATCTGCTTACCTGAAATTCATTTGGAGATCGAGGTATGATGGTCCGTCCTTCTTTCCAGATGGGCTCCTGGTCTCCACGGAGGGACCAGAGGAGGGTTTCCTCTTGGTCTTTGTTCTGCAGCAGGATCCTCAGGGTTCCCTGATCTTCCAGCTGATAGGAGAACATCAGGCAGAGAGGTCCGGTGTCGGGATCCACACTGGGACTGAACAGCCGGGCTTTCTGGCCCACCGTCTCAGGACTGGCCTCAATGTACAGGTAGTTTCCCAAACCTGTGAGAGAACAGATACAGCAAAACTTATCTCACAGTCTGTCAAATTTGACTAGCTTCTACCGAGTGGCAAATGAAAACCGTGCAGCCTTTTGGTTAGTTGCATGTAATCTTGTTTATTCCCTGCTGGGCAAAAAGTCCCATTCAGCACATGACATTTTAACAGTCTGGTTTGTGTCACTGCGGGCCCGACCTATCAAACAGCAAGTGAGCACTTCCTGAACCCAAATTGTGTTTCCAAGTAACATGTTTCTCTTGTCCCACCCATCTAAACATCATGCTGTGTGATTATACGGAAAAGTCAAGGGTGTCATTGTGGGAAAATTCAAGCACCTCGTCATTAGTATTAGTGTCATTCGTGAACGATGGCAGCCCACTAGGCTCTACTGTAGGCACTTTAGGTGACGGCAGGTGTCTGTTTGCTAAGCCGAGAGTGAACGAGCGTTAAGTGGGAGCAAGGCACGACCCCCACGGTGAAGAAAGAGTGGAGAGACAGGTGCACACTCTTTTATCTCTCTATATATTTGTGAATAATCTTTCCAGACGTTTCAAAGTCAAAAGGATCTTGAAAAAAGCTCATGTGGTGGCAGCCGGCATCTCTCTGAACGATCCGATTGGAAGAGGAAGAGACATGTGACCTATTGGAGCCTTAAACATTTTGAGAACTGCCAGAAAGCGCCTATAACACCTTGCAGCTGTTGGCACGGCTTGTTAAATCTTTCAGAGAGAGCATTTAAAATATTTCAAGGCAATGAATTTAAAATAGGTTTAGGATAACAATCCCCTTAACTTCACTGGGAATGCATATATGAGGAAATGTGAAGGGGGGGAATTGAATATCTTTCATTTATGTGAAAAAAATCCCGTAAGTACTACATTTATAGGGGGAAACGAATAATGATCTCTTGAAAGTGGCTCTAAGTACATGGAAGTCTATGCAAAAATCCTGGAGAAGAACTGGAATACAGGGTTGGAAATGCAGTTTTCCACAAGAATCTGCACCACTGAAGTCAATTAAAGATACTCAGATTCAACCCTTTGCCACACGACAGCTCAGAGAGACTGAAATAAGGAGGTTTTGAACTTCCAGAAAGGAGGCCTGGGAATGTGAAATGCTTCTTACACTTTTAAATGGTTTTGGAACAAAATAAATGATTAAACAATATTGCTTAGCACTGTCTACATCACATGAAATATAATCATTCAGCATCTTTCAATCAGCAAAGATGCATTTAATTGATGACAGGTGACAATAAAGACAATAATGTTACAAAAGCTTTTTCAAATAAATGCTGTTCTTTTGTCCACAATAATATTAAGCAGCACAACTCTTTTTAACATTGATAATAAGAAATGTTTCTTGAACAGCAAATCTGCATATTAAAATGATTTCTGAAAGATTATGTGACAACAAAATATCTTAAAATATAAACAAGTTTTTAAAATTGCAATAATATTTCACAGTATACAGTGGGTATAGAAAAGAATCAGCCCCCTTTAAAATAATCACATTTTGTTGCTTTGTAGCCTGAAATGAAGATGGACACAGTTTTTGTTTTATTCAGCTGTATTTACTCAGTGCAACTTATAACATCAGAGTGAAAAATATAACACCAACATGTCAGAAAAAAATAAAAAAACAGAATCACTGAGTTGGAAAAAGGATCACCCCCTCCTAAAAATGACTTAACTCAATTAGTTGTAGCTAATCACCTTCTCAATGGAACACAAAGCCATCTGGCTTTCAACTGTGATCAGCTGTGATCATTTTGATTAGCTCAGCTTGAAAAGAGCTTTCATGGAGCATTTCAGTCCTTGGTAGTGCAACTGAAACAAACAAGCAACTATGGGCGGCAAGGCTCTGTCAAAAAATCTCCGGGATAAAGTTGTGGGCAGGCACAGTCAGTCAGGAGATGGATGCAAAAAAAAAAATCAAAGGATTTATCAATGCTTAGAAGCATAGTGAAGTCTATTATTAAAGGGGTCATATGATGCGATTTCATTTTTTCCTTTCTACAAAACAGACTCTCCCTGGATCAGGATGTCGCTCCAAACTGGATGAAAGAGCCAGGAGGAAACTGGTCAGAGAGGATATCAAGAGGCCTACAACTACTCCGAAGCATTTGCAGGAATTTATTACAAAGATTGGTCATTGTGTGCATGTGACAACAATGTCACATTCTCCACAAATATGGCTTTTATGGGAGTGTTTCAAGAAAAACCCACTCCTCAAGAAAAGCCACATGCAGTCACGACTGAGCTTTGCCAAAACACACCTTGAAGATTCTGAGGCAGATGAGACCAAAATTTAATTATTTGGTCTTAACACCAAATGATATGTCTGGCGGAAATCCAATACAGCTCACCATCCAAATAACACTATTCCTACAGTAAAGCGTGGAAGTGGTAATATCTTGTTATGGGGGTGTTTCTCTGCAGCAGGGACTGGAGCTCTTGTCAGGATAGAAGGAAAAATGGATGGGGCAAAATACCGTCAAATTCTTGAGGAAAATCTGCTGCCCTCTGCCAGAAAGTTGTCAATGGGAAGAAGGTTTACCTTCCAACATGACAATGACCAAACGCACACAGCAAAACTGACCAGACAGTGGTTAAAGGAGAAAGGCCTAGTCAGAGCCCAGACTTAAACCCCATTGAAAATCTGTGGAAGCCTGCAGTTCACAAACGGTCACCATCAAATTGAACTGAACTTGAGAAGTTCTGCAAAGAAGAGTGGGCAAATATTGCAAAGTCTAGATGTGCAAAGTTAGTAGAGACATATCCCAACAGACTAAAGGCTGTAATTAAAGCAAAAGGTGGTTCAACAAAATACTGACTCAAGGGGGTGATCCTTTTTCCAATTCGGTGATTCTGGTGTTTAATTTTTTTTTTCTGACATGTTGGTGTTATATCTTTCACTTGGATGTTATAAGTTGCACTGAGTAAATACAGCTGGATAAAACAAAAACTGTGTCCGTCTTCATTTCAGGCTGCAAAGCAACAAAATGTGATTATTTTAAAGGAGGGTGATTCTTTTCTATACCCACTGATTAAAATATCGCATTTATTTGAATTGTTGATCGAGAGAGACAGAGAGAGAGAGAAAGAGAGAGAGAGATGGCAGTTGTGTGTGTGTTATCTGCGTCAGCGTGTCTCTCTCTACAAGCAATAAAGCTGTGTTTAGTTACTTCAAAAACAGTGATTTTACCACCTTGCTTCTGAGGAATATAATGTAGCATTCCAGTATCTAGGCTATTTTATTAATAAAAGTCGTGGAGCAGCATTGACAACAAGTTTCTGTGTGTCTGCGCAGCGCGATCTGCGATCTTCGATCTTTGATCTTTGATCTTTGACCTCCCTCTCTCTCTCTGTGCGTGTGTGTGTGCGAGTGATGTGTGTGTTTGTGTGCATCAATTAAAGCAGCGCATTAATATAGAATGGAGATTAAACTGACTCGAAATTACCTGTGGATTAAATGTATACCTGCCAGCCAATCAGAATCGAGTATTTGATGGTATGAATTGCTTTATTAAAGGCAAAATGAAATAGTAACCCATTTTACTTTCATGGTCTGATATATCTCAGAATGAAACTAAATATTGATGAAGAAAAAAAAAAGTGGAATTAAGCCAAACTTGAAAACTACAAGGGTTTACATTACATCATGTCTTTCTTTCAAAGTCATTCACAACAAGACCAGAAAGGTGTACTAGGAAAGTAAATATTGTAAATCATGCTTTTATATTGACAGATATGTAGTAATCTGCAGCCCACTGCTTCCCAGCTTTCATTCAAACAATGATTGTTTTGGCATTCCTACATTATTTCTGTCTTCGCTGCCATGCTTTGTTCCTGGTGTACACTCCTAATTGCGATGTGTCATGGGATAGAAATAGAGGGAGTGTGACAGTGTTCGGGAGGGGGAAAGGAGGAGAGAAAGCATGCCGAGCATTCATCCTGTTTTCCTCTTCTAGATCTCATGGCAGTGGCTGACATGTGGAAAGCAGACCGCCGTGTATAGAGGGAATGAGGTCACAGGAGTTTATGAGAACACATACTGAAGTTAGATAGGGAAAAGGCTGTTCTTGGAATAGTAAAGGTGCTTCTCTTTTGAGCAAGGTGCAAAACTTTTACGGGAAACTGATGTGGAATCAGAATGAAGTCATATTACACAGAAAACAGGATAAAATACCCTGCTGTGTTTACACTGGCATCAATTTTTATGTGGGTCCAGGTTGGTTTATGCCAGTGGTTCTCAACCTTTTTTTCCACCGGGCCGCACTATGGTCCAAGTGCGAGTCTCGTCTATAGTATATATAAATGAAAAATACAAACAAAAATAAGATCAGTTAAAATAATTGTAATTTCTTTACATTTTATATTACATTATGTCTTTTTGTATAATGACAGTAAACTGTTTAACTAACTGGTTCTGTCCCATAACATAACATAACATAACATAACATAATATAATATAATTTGTGTGAAATATTTTTTTTGTAAATGCTTTGTGTTTCCAAGCATGAACACAAACAAGAGCCTACAGGCATGACGACCTCTCTATGCATGTGAATATGTGTGTGCATGTGCATTCAGTATGTCTGTCTGTCTCTGTGTGTGTGTGTGTGTGTGTGTGTGTGTGTAATACTCACTGTTTGAGCCCATGGAGAGATCTTGACTCTGACCCAAGGCGGTGCTTTTGCTGGAGCTGTGTAGCGCCCAGCTGAGGTCAGAATCCGGGTCAAGGGTCCAACCACACAATCCTTGCTCAAAATCACACAGTCCTTTGTGAGACGGCAGAGCAGCACTGGTAACTGACGGATAGAATACATTAATACATTCGCATTAATATTCATCAACCCTGGCAAAACATTGGACGGCTAATGGCACTTTAAGCTAAACTGAGCTCTGACTTTTGACTTCAGCTGCATCAATGTGAAAAAATATAAAAATCACAACAACTCTGCCAAACAAGCCCCTGAAAATCCTGATAGTGTCACTTACTGTGCGTTAAAGAGATATGGATATTTACTGAATAAAAAGTGGTATAACTAATGCAAGTTCTTATAGGTCACATGCACATATTTATGTCGTTCTAAAATTATTTATTGTACCATGCACACAGCAATCACACAAACTTCACCAAAGAAACATTTCTCTTGTGAAAACACAACTGTGCAAAATCTGCTTAGTTCCCATTTCACAGATGCATGCAACAACAACCCAAATGTGGCTGATTTCTCGAGTTTTAGGGTGTGAAATGTATTCATGCTTGAATTGTGTATTGTAAAAAAGAAAGAAAAACAAAACATTTTTCATACATTCTGTGCTTAGATCTGAACCAACCTGGACTGGGTTTCTGCATTGTGGTGGTTTCTACAGAGGACGGTTGAGTTGGTTTGGATGTCTCTACTCTTTCTGTGGAGGAAACACATAATTATCAATCTTAACTTAACCCAGACCACAATGAATTTCCATTCAAACAAATCTCTTTTTCTTTCCATTTCAAATGAGATTCCCTTTCATTTTAATTATGCAGCCAGCCATGAGTCTTTGTCTTCTGATTCAATTAGTACAGGGATGACGGATAAATATCATCACCTGTGCAGGACTACTCTCGTGCACGCATACCCACGTGTGCAAACACTCTCCACATCTTGAAGATGCTCTGTCAGTGTTTAAAGGTCGCTGTGTGTCACGGTGTAATGATTTTGACCTTTTGGAGATGTGACAGTTGTGTCAGCACAACAGACAAGACAAATATAGGGAACGTTGTCACAAACCGCTGTACTTCTACCATCACACTACAAGGCTGTTCTAAAAGGTAGGAAGCATAATTATGCATCCTTCTAAGTCAACAACAGCTTTGCATGTAGCTTTCAAAGCAATGCCAGAATTCTGAACTCAAGATGGTGGGTGAATTAATACAAAATTCATACAGAAAACTATAGACACAAAAATTTTACGATTTTCAGCATAGAGTTAAATGTGCGTGTTGTTTTAATATTATATACTATTATATATTATTATAGCATTTATTAATAATTTGAAGTAGCTTTTTTATCTTTTATTTTTTAAGTTTTCGATTTTCATTTTAGTTTAAGTTTTAGTAATTTTGAAATTTTTATTGGTTTTGTCTTTTTTTGATATATTTTATTTAGCTTAAATTATTTTTATTTCAGTTTTATCTTTAGTAATTTTAGTACTTCAACTATTTATTTATTTATTTAAACCTGTAGAAAAACAGAAAAGTTGCTGGTGATTTTCTGCCAGGTCTTTATCCTCTAAGTTACAGAGTTTTATTTTAACCCTAAAACACAACACAATGCAAAGTATAGTTCCATATATGGGTATATAACACCCGTGAATAATCAAAACAGAAAAAAAATCTTCATATTAACAGTATATGTGGCATTCTTTTTATAGACATTTCCTAGAGTGAAGGCTATTGCTATTTCAAAATGGCTGTGTATGTTATCTGTCTCTTTAAACCATACGTGTAACTGTACACCTCACCGCAGGCTGCAGTTGCCTTAATGTGATTAAGACTAGCGGGAAGATCATTGCCTCCAGTGTGTATATGTGTGTGTGTGTTGGAAGTAATGGGAAGTAAGGCAAAGAAATGAAAGCATATTATTGATAGCTGTAATCTGTCGTCCATCCATTCCATTCTGCTCCCCCTTTTCTCAGCTCATATCCCATCATTCTGTTCTCTCTCCCTCGACTCTTGTCCTGTCATTTCTGCTTTCATCATATCCTCACCCTTCCTACAGGAAAGGCTGTCACATCGTTCTCCAAATACCCTGATTCAGCAAAAAAAAAAATCAATAATATAAAACGGATATATAAATAAATAAAGAACAGACCCTCAATTATGCATAAAGCTTTCCTGCATATTTTAGCCTGCCAATCATAACTGCCTTTAGGGCCCCATAATTCACCTGAGACTCATTCATTGTACTATATATTATATGTGTTTGATCGCTTCATGATGCAGAGCACATAAAACCTGAGGCACTTCAGAATATGCTCTGATACAGTACAAAAATAAAAATAGTAATTGTCTGATACTATTTTTTATAAACACAAGAAATAAATTCAAGTTTGCATACATTTTCTGAAGAATGATGCAACCACTCAGAAAACCCTAGCAACACCCTAGCAACCACTCAGAGCACTAGAAATCCTTGAGAGATTTGTTTATCCACAAATACATACTAAGTAACACAGTGTGGGCAGGTATATGTTTGCTTACACAACAACAGCTGTTCCGTGGGATGAACATGTATAACATATGAGTGTGTGCATGCGTGTGGGAGAGTGAACATGGGAAAGAGTATCTGATGAGAAACAGAAAGAGGAGGAGAAGTGAGAAGAACAGGACCAAAAGAAAAACATTTACAAAGCAAAAACATTCCTTAAAAACAAATGGTGAAGAGAAAGAGAGACTGACTTGAAAACAAGAGAGTGGAGTTTAGATTAGAGGTTGTGCTTCTTAAAAGGGTTTTTGCCAAAAATGACATTTCTGTAATCATTTATTTACCTTCATATAAAAAATTTGATCTGAACACACTGAACGTCCATACCTCGCAAACTACACAAAAAAAAAATGTGGCGTAGGATTTACTTTGAAACAATGGTCTACAAATACAGTATTCATCTGATAGCATCCCTGAACCGCCACGGTACATTTTGTAATTGTGAGGGTTTCTACAATTGCAATGTGGATCAATCAATTAACAATGAAAGTTTCTAGAACTTTGAGCATTTGGTTTTCACACCTAAAAATGGAGCATACTGTACATTTGCATATACACACACTCAATCAGAAGTACGTATCTCCAGCAGCTCTATGATAAATTATACAACAGAGAGGATAATTGGCACAGAGGGTAGCCGTCTGATTATAGCAGTTCTGCATGAGTGTGTTTGTGTAAGTGTGGCTTTCATGTTTATAATATTGTAGACGTGGGAATGTATTTGTCCAGTAAGTCTAGTCAGATAGAGACAAACAATCCATAATAAATGATTATAATCAGGGATTGAAATATTAACTTTTTTACTCACCAGCCAATTTGGCTAATACATTTTTAAGTTACCGGCCATTCATAACTTCTACCAGCCAAAAAAAATCATTGCAATCTCTTCATTTGTGAAGGACAATAGTTAAATAAGTGAGAATGTCCCACACATACACTACCATTAAAAATGTTGGTGTCACTATGATTAAAAAAAAAAATTAAAAAAAAGAATACTTTTATTCCGCAAGGATGCATTATATTGATTAAAAGTGACGGTAAAGACATTTATAATGTTACAAAATACTCAATGTTCTTTTGAAAAAATGTATCACGGTTTCCACAAAAAAAATTAAGTAGCATGACTGTGTTCAAAATTATTAATAATAAGAAATGATTCTTTAGCAGCAAATCAACATATTAGAATGATTTCTGAAGAATCATGTGACACTAAAGACTGAAGTAATGATGCTGAAAATTCAGCTTTGCATCACAGGAATAAATTAAATTTTTAAATATATTCAAGTAGAAAACAGATATTTTAAATTGTAATAATATTTCACAATATTACTGTTTTAATGAATTTTTTTAAATCTTACCGTCCCCAAACTTTTGAACAGTAGTGTATGCAGCACACACACAACTAAGACGTCACACTGAAGCTTCTGCCAAACAAAATTCATCCAGCCTCTACCAATTTTTAATGGTTGCTTACTCCCATCCACTTCACGTTGAGACAATCCCTGTTCCCATGTTTCTATTTTCTCTTCACATCAGTCTATCCATTTTCTTTTACTTCTCTCCACCAAAAATGAAAAGAAATAGAAAAGAAAAACTGTACAAGCTGCGATAGCTTTCAGCTGACGGTGCGTTTCTGGGCAGCTGCTCAGTGTCAGTTGTAAAGACTGAGAATAAATTTCACCCTACAACTGGAACTGCCCAATCATCAACAAATAATTTAGCTTATGATTTCACAATAGTGGTGTATCTGAGGGCCGTGTCTTACCTGGCAGATTGCAGCCCAGGACTTCCATTCTCATTCCGATCCCTGCCGGAGACCAGCGCTCTGGATAGATGCGGATAAACTGTGCCGCCAGTTCCTCAAAACGCCTCAGCTCTGGGGTGTCATAGTGTGTGTTCCCCTCAAAAAGCTGAAGAAAGAAAAGAGGTTACACACACTTAGTGAATTTAGACATCTGAACAGGTATCACAGGTGTGAAAGAATTAGGATAATAGGATTGAATGCTTAGTTGGAAACTCTTTAGTTAACATACTATCCGAATTCCACTTGGGTCGATTCCCTATTGAAAATCCTAGAAAATGTTTGCAAGATTTTTAGCTGGTCATTTATGATGATTCATTGATCCAAGCTGGTCTAGATGATTGATCGATTAGACTTCCATCTGGTGAACTTGGTTTCTGACCTTGTAGACCATCTTAATCGAGATGGTGAACAAACCAGAATATGTCAACCATATTGGTGAAGATGTTTAGAGCAGGTCATGGAACAGCAACAAACTATTTACACTACCGTTTAAAACTTTGAGGTTTGTAAGATTTCTTACTGTTTTGGAAATAAGTCTCTTATGCTCACCAATGATGCATTTATTTGAACAAAATATAGTAAAAACCATAATATTGTGAAACATTGTTACAATTTAAAATAATCGTTTTCTATTGTAATATATTTAAAAGTGTAATTTATTCCTGTGATGCAAAGCTGAATTTTCAGCATCATTACTCTAGTCTTCAGTGTCACATGATCCTTCATTAATCATTCTAATATGCTGATTTGCTGCTCAAGAAGCATTTTTTATTATTATCAATGTTGAAAACAGTTGTGCTACCTACTATTTTTATGGAAATGGTGATACATTTTTTTTGATGCTTTGATAGATGAATAGAAATTTTAAAAGAAGAGCATTTATTTGAAATAGAAATATTTTGTAACATTATAAATGTCTTTACTGTCACTTTTGATCAATTTAATGCATCCTTGCTGTATAAAAGTATTAATTAAAACATTAAAAAGAAAAACATACATTAAACAGTTTACCCCCAAACCTTTGAATTTATAATAAACATTCTGCATATGTTTATATTATGCTCTGGATAAATTAACTACCTTGGGCATGCTAGTCTTGCTATCCATTACAAAGTTCCAGTCTTTTCCATTCAGGCTGTGTGCTAAACGATACTTCCGAACGAAAGCCCGGTTCTCTGAGCTGGTTCCTCCTTCCCCACTCCTCGCTCCTTGGGTTATCACTCCTCGCACCGTCTTGGGTGTCCCAAGGTCCACCTGAAGCCATTCTTCTCCTGCTAAAGGCTGGGCAGGGCCAGGAAACCATCCTGATCTACTGGCCACCAGACGTGCTGCTCCAGGGGCCCAATGAAGGTCCCTCACTGAGGAGGCTGAGATCTGGGAATCAGGGAGGAGGCCAGACAGCATTCCCTGGAGCTCTGAACATGGAGCATCTGAGACAAAAGAGAACAAGAGAGACGTCCATTCAGCCTTCAAATGATGAAACGGTCATGTAGCAGACAGTTTTATCCAAAGTGTCCAAATGGCTCTTTCCACCTTGAGTTAAGCTCCATATTCTTATGCTATATGAACCATAAAATCCTGGTGTATCAAATATGATAATTAAAAACATACACCCTTTTTTTTGAATTTTTTTAACACTTTGTCTAAAGGTTCAATAAACTGTTCTATTTAAAAAAAAGTCCATATATCTGACTTTATATGGTTAATTTTTATGTTATTGCCATAAAACAGTGACGTGTCTTGCTGCTTTATAACAGAATGTGCACAAACACAAATTAGATTTTCTAAAACAGAGGGGAACATTTTCAGGTAAAGACCTCATAAAGATGATTTTTTTATGATAAGATGAAAACAAACCATGCAACTACAAACACTCACCTGTAATTTGGCAGCCATAAAGCTCAAAGCGTAGCGCAATGCCGTTATTCCATGTCTGCGGTCGAATACGAACAAAGCGGGCCAGAACAGGCTGAGGAATACGATTCAAAACCACCTCAGATGGGTCAGTGTTGGCATGGAAAATCTGCAAGAGAGAGAAAACACACAGCGCTGATTATACTTGCTGCAAAGCATCAACAAATCTATTCATTGGTATATATATATATATATATATATAGTTCAGTGTTATTCCTCTCGTTTTAATAGATATCCATCAGAAGTACACCTTTGTTTGGTATGTATATTAATAATGAGCAATTAGCTTGCTTGAAAACATATTTGTGATGCTTTCTAATCCATGCATCATCAGAATTACTGCTGATACTTACTCAAACAAAACCCTAAACCCTAAAAAATACTAAACCTAAACCTATGTTTGTGCCCTAAACATAAATATAATGTGAACGTTTGTGGCCTGTTGAGGAAAGATTTTCAGTGATCATTCTTGACAAAATCATAGACATACATTAAAGTAGGGATCCAAGCCATATCCAACAACTAGAACACACTAGCAAGGTCTTAACAACCAGTAGTTGCAAAGAAACACCTTAGCATTTACTTCATAAAATGTAAATTGTTATCCTTTTTTCCAAGAGAAATCCTTTAAAACACGTTATAAATTAAAGGTGGGGACAATATAAACTGGTGCGATTAAACACTTTCATCCACATATCTCAGAACCAGTGATAACCAGTGTAAAGCGTGATAAGAGTGACTCACTCAAACGCAACTGCTTCAATAACTCAGTTCATGCGTTTAGTTTCTGAATGTTTTTGAACTAACTGGATAAGTGATGTATTCAATATTTTAACTCACGCATAAAGATGATTCCTTTGAACTAATCGAATGAGCGAATGATTCAAAAACTCACTCATAATATTTAAGCACTTGATTCAGTCCTGACTGAATCAGTGTTTTTGAATGAATTGGTTGGATGAACAAATCGGTGACTTCATAAAGCTATCAGGAGACCAGTAACTTGAAAAGGTGACTACATTTTTAAGACCAGTCATGTGTTTTGTTCATGAATGAATAACTTGCTCACAAAAGGACTCTTGTTTTTGTTACTAAACTAACAACAGTTTGAACTTGTTGAATGAGTGCATTTAAAGATTCACTCATAAGTATAGTCACAATCAGTTGAATGAATGAGCAAGTAATAAACAAGTAATAAATGTGTTCTGTTCATGAACGATTCGCCGTAAATGATTTAATGACTCATTTATAAAGAGAGACACTTATATAAGACACTTATATACATACCCACAGAACTTAAAAACAAATACACATGAGATTGGAACTTATGACTGTTAAAACGGTTGAAAACACATGACCTTGCGCACACACACATCCGTGTTCTTCCATACATGTGGGAAGTTGAGTGCTGGATGTGTCTTTAGCCAACCGAAAACATTCCTCACCTGAGATCAAGTGTAACAGAGGCCAAGATGGGCTGTAAAGGCTTTCCAAAGTGAACACAAACAGACACACAAGTATCCTGGCTTACTTACAAAGCTGCGACTATGACCGACACCATGAGGCAGTGAAACGGGCTGATTAAGTCAAGTGGCACTAGAAAAAGTAGTGGACTAGACAAAGACAAACAAAGAGTCTATTGAGCTCGTTTTCACCACCATTAAATTTTCCCCCATTCCTTTTTTCCTCAAGGCCTAAACCTCATTCATCCCCATTGTTCACCTCATCCTCTTCATCCAGTGGCCACAAGTCACGTCCCATCGAGAGTTACGGGCTCTGGGTGGAACGATCCATATGGAAGAATCCCTTTTCTGTGCTATACGCTCAAGGCTATAAATGCTCTATCAACTCTGTGTTAGTGTGTATGTGCGTGTGTGTGTGTTCCCAGTAGGGGAATTCGGCACACTCACAAAGGACCACACTACCAGTAACTTGAAAAGGTGACTACATTTTTAAGACCAGTCATGTGTTTTGTTCATGAATGAATAACTTGCTCACAAAAGGACTCTTGTTTTTGTTACTAAACTAACAACAGTTTGAACTTGTTGAATGAGTGCATTTAAAGATTCACTCATAAGTATAGTCACAATCAGTTGAATGAATGAGCAAGTAATAAACAAGTAATAAATGTGTTCTGTTCATGAACGATTCGCCGTAAATGATTTAATGACTCATTTATAAAGAGAGACACTTATATAAGACACTTATATACATACCCACAGAACTTAAAAACAAATACACATGAGATTGGAACTTATGACTGTTAAAACGGTTGAAAACACATGACCTTGCGCACACACACATCCGTGTTCTTCCATACATGTGGGAAGTTGAGTGCTGGATGTGTCTTTAGCCAACCGAAAACATTCCTCACCTGAGATCAAGTGTAACAGAGGCCAAGATGGGCTGTAAGGGCTTTCAGAAGCGAACACACACGTAGACACACACAAGTGTCCTGGCTTACTTACAAAGCTGTGATTATGACCGACACCAGTGAGGCAGTGAAATGGGCTGATTAAATCAAGTGGCACTAGAAAAAGTAGTGGATTAGACGAAGACAAACAAAGAGTCTATTGAGCTCGTTTTCACCACCATTAAATTTTCCCCCATTCCTTTTTTCCTCAAGGCCTAAACCTCATTCATCCCCATTGTTCACCTCATCCTCTTCATCCAGTGGCCACAAGTCACGTCCCATCGAGAGTTACGGGCTCTGGGTGGAACGATCCATATGGAAGAATCCCTTTTCTGTGCTATACGCTCAAGGCTATAAATGCTCTATCAACTCTGTGTTAGTGTGTATGTGCGTGTGTGTGTGTTCCCAGTAGGGGAATTCGGCACACTCACAAAGGACCACACTTATAATGCTTCAATGATGCAGTAACGGAAGGGTGGAGATGTGGGGGAAGGTTTTCATGAACCCTTTTTTTTTAATGCTGATCTCGAGTGTGTTGTGGCTGGTGAAGCCAGACAGACAGACAGTTGACTAGACCGATGACCCCTTTCCAGACGCTGCAATAAGACGCAGTCAGCCGTCCAACTCTGTGGAAAAACATTGTGGCAGCTCTGCAGAGTTCACGGATAACGATGGAAGAGAAGACAGAGGTTAAACGAACGAGACGGGGAGGAGGAGCGCAGGGTCTGAGAGATGATAACAGACCAATCAACAAGACTGAAAAATCAAGGGGGGGAAATATCAGAAATACCAGAAGAACTGGAAAAAAAAATATGAGAAACAAACCCAATAGTCAGAGTAAACAGCATATTTAATTTGACAGCAATGAGCCCAAGGCTGAGCAGAATGTAAGCAGAGTCCATTCAGTGAAATTGTTCATATAACCACACTGAAAAAAAATGATGTTGGATTTACTCTGAAACAATTCCCCTTCAGAACTTGCTAATAAATTTCAGAAATAATTACAAAGAAACATGAAATTTTAGGTACAAAAACTAAGACTGAAATAATAAGACTGAAAATTCTTCACAACTTTGAAAAATCACAGTGCATCCTTGCGTAAATTTACTCAACACATTTGTGCAAATCATTAGTGAAACAAATTTCAGAGTAAATTATTTGTAAAAAATATTGTTAATACCATATCACATTTATTTGTAAATCATTCATAAAGGTTTATGCCAAAACATTTTGTTAATTATTTATAACATTTGTGCATCTCTGTGACAAATGTCATTGTAAATTGCTTGTAAACTTATACTTACGTAAATGTACACAATTTTACATGAAAATTAATCAAATATAAATATATATATATATATGTATTATATTTTTTACATTATTTCTGTAATTTTTGTGTATATAATTTGTAAAAATTTTTACAAAAAAATATAGCAAATTTACACAAATTGTTAGCAAAAGAATTCTTACGTAATTATTCTGCAATTAATTTCTGTATAAATTATGCATAAAACCATTCTTACATTAGTTTACGTAACAAATTTCTTTGAAAATTATCCGTAAAACCATTTATATGAAAATGTACTTGTAAAATTCTGTGTAAATTGTTGAATGAATGAAAAATAGCTTATTTTTATGTACCTGGTTATCTTTCTCTCTTGTTGAAACACTGAAATATTGTATTGGCACAATTTTTCTTGCCAAAAATAACAAACAAAAATCCGATCTGAGCGGTCAGATTAAGATTTCAAAAGCACATATGAATGTATCTTGAAATGGATTTGTAAAAATCAGATTTCATATATGATGTTTTGCCGTTCAGACTTGATGAATATGATCAGATTCCAATTGAACAGAAATCAGATTTGGACTGACAGTCTGAACAAGGCTCTAGGACCTCAAGACAGTCTAACATAATGAATAAATTATTTCCATTTCCTCTTCACATCAAATGGCATCTACTAAAGCCTATTAGTCACAAGAGAAGACTTTAGTAAAGAAAAGAAATATGGCACAGTTTAAGATCAAAAGTCAAGGAGTGTCAGATTTCAAATTGCTTATTGTATTGTATTAATGTATTCAGGTTTTCTTCACCTGCAGAGATCAAAAAGTCCATAAGTGGTTCAACTGTGATCTTTGACCCCTGTCAATAAGCCTAGTTATACAGTTCAAAGGTTAATTAGGATTATAAATAAGTCTGAGCAACATGTGACCATTTCCTGTTCGAATCAAATGAAGGCTATTTTTCCTAGTTGATAATGGGAGATCATTTCTTTAGAACTGGCCTTCAGCAATAACAAGCAGATGGATGGCTTAAAACTTTCTTTATAAAGGAAGCTGTTGTATTTTTGCTTGGAAAATGTTGTGCAATTTAGAGCAGTAAATGATGAGTGATAAAGCTTTTGTAAAGCTTAAAGGTGTGTTTCATATTGAAATGACACTGGGTAACCAAATCACAAATAACCTATAGAGCTATAAGCTGTTTAAGCTTTAAGCCATTCAATGTCATAAACAAGACCAAAATCTGCCTGACAACAAGAGAGTTGGCGACGGGGCAACCCAAGGTGGGATGGTCCCGCCCATCCAGCTGAAGTAGAACGCTAGCTAGGGTAACTAAATAATTAAACCTGCCATGTTGTGTTTCTACGAGTGATAGATCATGAAATTATAAAGACCCTTTCCGCTGTCCCTCCAAT